ATGTATATCTATATATATTGGGAAGCGTACTACTCTACGAAAATACAACTGAGATATGTGGGATGTACATACTGCTCCTACTACCAGCACCTTGCTGTTCAATTCTCCGGCCTTTTGGGCCACCTTGCACATGAACCATTGGTGTAATAGACCGCATTGTCCCTCTATCACCATACCATACCATACCATACCATACCATACTCTTTTCTCGTATACACCTAAAGTTCTTCTGTGGCCATACCATACCTCCTTATCGCCCTGAACCGAGTTCCCACTTGCGCCTACAAACGGCTGGTACCCACCCAGTAAGACATAGAAAATGCATCCGAGGGACCAGATATCCGCCTTCATGCTGTAGTCTTCGCCTTTCAGGATCTCCGGTGCAATGCTGAGGTGGCGCAGGCGCGGGTGGGTCGGTAGGTGGTAAGTGGCAAGTGGTAGGTGGTAAGTGGCAGGAGGTAGGTTGGACGCGCATTGTTACTAGCAGGAAGGTACGTGGTACGTGGTAAGTGGTAAGTGGTAAGTGGTAAGTGGTAAGTGGTAAGCACAATGCTCGCAGAATCGGAATAGCAGAAAAACTGAGTGGTATGCTCGTTACACTCTCAATGGGAAACCGACTGTGAGACGACGTAGTAAGATGTGATTTTGGGGTGTGGTGTACATGCACGACAGAGTGTCAGTGTTCTACTTCTGGGATCGCAGGTCTCGAAGAAGAAGACTTATGATATAAACCGAGCATGTATATATGTGTTTATGTCTTACTGTATGAATGTCTCGGTGAAAGGTGCAAGTACACTGCTTGAAGAAGATATATACATATATATATATATATATATATATATTTATATATATATAGGCGTAATCTACATACCCACATGCAGATACCACCAAGCACAACCTGCAATTCATATGCGCATTGTCAGTGAAACTCGAAGTGCGTCACATAACCGGTGAAAGTTCCTGAAATACACCACACCACACCACACCACACTACACCTCACCACGCTTATGGGCATGGACAAGGACAAGAACACAATGCTACAGTTGTGAGGCACTTACTATCCGGGTGTTCCTTTCTTCTGACTCATGCTCTGCAAACAAGAGTGGAATAGGGCATGCATGGACTATGAGTGACTGTGAAGTGACCAATGTGTGCGAGTACAGGACTGGAAATGGCCAGTTTTTTGGACATGCAACCGAATGAGGCCCTCCAGCGGTCGAGACTCTCAGTCTACTTGCATCAGCATCTGTTACCCAGCTCTCTCGTATTTCTATAAATAGAACTGTATGCACTCACTAACTGCTACTGTGTGTGTATCAGATTTTATGTGAACTACCCTGTTGTGCAACCCCTCGCATGTAGGTATGACCAAGTGCCCCGTGTGTACCTACACCCGTTCATGCATACGTCCAGCAAACCATATCCATGTTATTGTTTTGTATACACCCACCGTTGCCCTGCCTGTTCTTTGACAAACGTACCTCTAAAACTAAATCAATATAAATAATTGCAACACACACACGTAGACAGCGCAATGCGTTCCGTGATACATACACCCGTGCTTACGTACACCCTATCCATGATTATGCCTTTTTATACACCCAGCTATTTCCTGTATTGGCCCCATACGCACGCCCATGCAACGCATACACGCACACACACAAATATATATATATATATATATATATATATATATATATATATATATATATATGGGAGTCTCCCTTTATATCCGTGCAACAGAACTCACAAGTCCTCATATGTTAGTGTACAACCCATGCTAGTATATCTACATACCCGCACCTATACGTACTACTACCTCGATGCATAACCAACTGCATAGGCACAGCTTCACACACGCAGAAACCCGTATACCTATTAGTCGCAATCATACGCACCTAAACTTCTATATAAAGAGTTTGAAAAGACCATAACCCTTGCACCACGCTCCGTCATATTGGTGACATCTAAATATCAATGTATAGAGCTTGAGAAGGCTCTAATCATTTCGTTGCATTAAACTTCGATGCAAAGACTTTAGTACACACGCACCTGCTTTCCCAGAGTTGTCTGTTTAGCAAACCCGAAGTCACACAGTTTGACATCTGCGTCGTCATCCGGGCTTGTGAGTAGGATATTCTCTGGCTGCATGTGTAGGTATGTGTATGTACCAAGGTCAATTCGAGCTATCGTAGGAGCTCTACGTGCATACGCATATAGATACTGCAATACGTAGACGGGTATCTATGTCCATGTGGGAATGCAGGAATGAAACGGGACACACAACAAAGTCTGTACGTGTATACGAACACCCCAACACAAACATTTGTATGTATTCACTCGTGCCGGTGAGAAATGGTACTCGACATGTGGACATACTCTTGCATGTATACAAACGTAGGTGAAATATCCACACAAGCACTTTCGTCATGTGCATGAATACTAATGTATGTGCAATTCCAGAAAGGCAATTTGGGAAGTGTATAAGTTTGGGGCAGTATGGCACCAGATCGTTGATAATGCAGATAGAGAAGAACGCTGGTGTTTGACTGTGACCGAAAAGAATTTCAAAGGCAGACACTAGCCTCTACAGTGTTGGAAATAGGCATATATTGATATGGTCGGTGCATTCCTATAGTGATATCGAAACTATTGCTTTCTAGAATTAACCCAAACTGGACACTAGAACATACATACACTTGTACATGTGTGTAGATATAAATATATATACGTTCCAAATCTCTCCATCTCTCTATATATATATATATATATGTGTGTGTGTGTGTGTGTGTGTGTGCGTAT